AACAATACAACAACACAACAACAACATATCTGGATTGAGTTCTGGTTGGTGGTGTTATGTATCTTAATCTCAAGTTGTTGTCTGCTAGTGTTGGCTCTCAGTTCAAAAAATATCTTTTAGTGTTTTTTGTAAAGTTGGTCTGGTTATTCCAAATCCCTTTATGTTTATCAGGAAATGTCTCACTTTTGCTGTTATATTTGAGGGGTAGTTTTGCTGAGTATATGATTCTTGTTTGACAGTTGTTTCTTTCAGGGTTTTATACACATTGTCTTTTTGCCTGCATAGTTTCTGCGGCAAAATCAAAGCTAAGTCTTATTGGTTCTCCTTTGTAGGTAACTTCTCACTCATTTTTTCTGAGCTGCTCTTAGGATTCTTTCCTTGTCTTTGGTTTTGGAGAGTTTGATTATGATATGTCTTGGTGATTTTCTTTTGGGATCTAGCCTGTTTGGAGTTCGTTCAGCTTCTTGTACACTTATCTTTTAGTCTTTCACATTGTTAGGGAAGTTTTCTTCCACTAACTCTTGGACATTTCTCTGTGCTTTTTATTATCTCTTTCTTTTCTGGACTTTTGATTACCCATAAATTGTTTCAATTCATTGTGTCCCACATAATTCTTAGACTTTCTTCAGATTTTTTTTCATTGTTTTTTTCTCGTTGTTCTTCTAGCATACTAATATTGAGAAATTTATCTTTAAGCTAAATAATTCGGGCTTCCATTGCCTGAAATCCATTCCTTAGTCCTTTTAATGTATTGTCAATTTCTGAAATCTTTGTATTTATCTCTGGATTTCTAATCACAGGTTTTGTATTATTTCAAAATTTGCATTTATTTTGTCTGTTTGCTCTTGTAGTGTTTTCCTGAATTCTTCTAAATTTTTTTCTGTGTTTACCTTGCTTTCCTCGATCTTTCTGCCAATCCTTTGAAGGTACCTAAATATCATTTTTTAAAATTCTTTTACAGTTAGTTCAGTTACTTTTTTTCCTCAGAAATATTTTTCTGACTCTGCATCTTGGTCATTTGTTTAAGCCATTCTCTCTTGTTTCTTCCTGTGAGCTAAACCTGTCTGTTACCTCTGGGGCATTGTGGGGTTGTCTTACTTGTATTTAATTGGTGATTGTATGTTAATGTGTTCTTAGGCTCTCACCAACAGTTTCTTGTTGGTACAATCAGAAAATGGAAAGTGTACATTGTTTTCATTTGCTGTTCACACACCTGAGTTTAGGGTGGGTTTGGCTGGTGTTGGTTGTTGTCTATAGTTGATCAGGTGGTATAGGAGCTAGCATTGGCTCTTGCCCAGTGGGTGGAGCTGCAGAGGCCAGGCTATATGTACATGGTTGCTATCTCCTCTTGGGTGAGGGAAGAGAAACCTCCCGCCAATACACAAGAAATCAAAATAGAATAAACAAACAAGGAACCAACAATGAAAAGAGAATACAATAAAGAGAATAAAGAAATGAAAACAGGAAGCAACTAGTAAAAAAGAATATAATAACTATAAAGACAAAAGAAGGACAGGTAAATATAGCTATTTTTGTTGTTGTTATTAATTGCCGTCAAGTCGGTTCTAACCCATAGCGACCCTGTATAGGGTTTCTGAGGAGCAACCGGTGAGCTTGAAATGCCGACCTCGCAGTTCAAACAGCTTTGCAGTCTGGCGAGAAAAATAAAATAGAAAATAAAAGGAAGAAACTTTAAAAACTTGTTGTTGTTAAGTACCTTCGAGTCGGA